GCACGCCCAACCTGCTGAGATCAAGCAAGGAGGAATCCCGAGGAGCAGATACCCAGAACCCATTCCCTTCTCACTCCACAGTGTCTGTTAAGCCAGAGGCACATCGGAGGCTAAGGGAGCCCGAGAGTCTCGCAGCTCAGCACCCCACGTAGAGAGAGGGACAAGTGTAAGATATCAGAGCATATGGTTATAGCAGGAAACAAAATGAGTAGTTTAGAGAGGACTAGATATTTTCCTCAAAATTACAGATAAATAATATAACCACTTAAGAAATTCTGGATAAATTCACTCCAAAAGGTAAAGAATGCTGCACTCAAGAGTTCCTGAACAATGAGCCACAGCTATTGGCAACTGGTGAACCAATTCTTTGTTGTTAGAGGCTGTGTCAAGCATTTTGGGACATTTAGCATTCCTAACCCCCTAGGCACTAAACACCAGTAGAAACCCCAGGCATCACAATGACCAAAACTCTTAAAAACTCTACCTACTTCCCTACCAAGTCTGTAAGGGACCACTGTGGGGGCAAGAATTTATGTTTCAACTTCTGTTTTCTTACCTGCATTTTTCTACAAAGAGTAGGTACAGCTTTTGTGAAATGGAAACTATGTCCACTATTTTTATAGAAACTCAACAAGATAGTAATGTAGATTCTAGCTCTCAGTAAACCTTATCTGTCCTTCCCCAACTAAGTTTGCTCATGACAGTAAGTTAAAAAAAAAAGTGACCTGACATTGTCAGATGCTATAATTCATTTTATAGTCATCTGTAACAGGAAGGACATAATTAATGTGGTTTCTTACAAATCACTTTTATTCTTCAAGTACTTGTAATAGTACTTATGAGATCACAGTATCCTACGATTCACAGGTCAAGTACTGGATTGCTTCTAGCTTGCTAATAAAACTTTAAAAGGAAGGAAGCCACCATGGTTTGGCTTCAACACAGCGTTGCATTGGCATGGCTGTGTGTGTCTTAGTAGATAAAATTATTGCCACCCACCCTGTGATGAGGCCAGGGCAAGCAATTTTGGTCTGGAGAAATGTGTTTTGTTCTCTATTATCTCACTTCCTTTGGTTCAAATAGAAGACAGGTTCTCAGTGATTCTTTGTCTCAGTATTTTTACAGGGCTGAGAGCAGTATTTTTCTACAGGTATAGCTTGGTCTCAGGAAAGGGACAATGATAATTTGAAACACACACATACCCCTCCATTTGCAGATAAAGAATCAGTGGTTCCATATTTCACTCAAGAAACCATGTATATAAGCTGCATCCTGATCCAGATGTTAAAACATGAACCAAAAAAGTTTCTTAGAATCAAAACACAGTACAGTATATCTTTTAAGGTGATCCTTAGCATTTTGAATTTTGAGTTCCTCTTATTTTAAAAAAAGTACGTTTATTTAGTTTAATAGGTAAACACTACTGAGGACAATTTAGACCAGTGAACTTTGAGGGAAGATAACTTCAGAATATGCCACAAAAACCTTACATTTGACTTAACAATTCTATTTTAATGAACTTTTCCTCAAAAGGATTATATGTGGAAAGATGGACAAAGAAGAAAAATTGCTACAGCATTGATTATATTAAAAGACAGACGTTTATCTAAAGACTGAGGAAATCAAAGAATAAGGTAATTCCTCATGAAAGAAAATTGTAATAATGAGAGTGGAGACCCCAAACATGTTCAGGATGTAACAAATGCAAACAACAAGGCATAAATCAGTAAGGAAACACATGCATAGGGATAAAGTATTAAAGTATTTTTTAGAAAGAACTGAAAAAATGGAAAGAATAAAACCAAATTTTAAAAAAAATCTCTAAAAAAAAATCTCTGGGGGCTATATCTCAGTGGTAGAGTATGTGTACTTGCATACATGAAAACCTGGGTTCCATTCCCAGCCTGGGGTTGGGGGTGAGCGTCAACTCCTTAAACTTACAAGAGTTTTCCTTATTTGAGAGACTGCACTAGGTGCTCCACATAAGGGTGCAAAACACATTCTCATGAAGGCCCATCACTGATAGTTCAGATCTCAGGAGAAAGAAGATTCTATAGGCTTCTAATGGGGGAAGATGGAAAAAAGAATTTTAAATCAGGGCTGGGGATTTAGCTCAGTGGTTCCGCCACCTGCCTTGCAATTGCAAGTTCAATCCCCAGTACCAAAAAAAAAAAACAATTTTAAATCAGAATAGCTAGAGGACAACAGAAGTAAACTGAAAAAAAAAATTCCAATCTAACCATTTTTTGCCTAGCCAAACAATTATTGTAACAGTAAGATCAAGACATTTTGAAAGATGCAAATCTCAAACTCCACGCTCATCCTTCCTTAGGAAAGTATGAAAGGCTGGGTCCCTCTCCTCCTGACTGAAGGGGGACCAAGGCAAGCCAGAGGAGGACAGTGGACAAGGGAAGCAGGCACTCTGGCCCTGGAGGGAAGGACAGAACCTTCAGGGTGATGGCAGCCACACCCAGCAGGGAGCTGTTAGAGGCTCCAGGGAGGAGGACATGAGGAGGGTGCGTGCTCAGCTTCCTGGGAAGGGATTCAGGCAACTTGGGTTAAATGAGTGACTAAGTATCTGGGGAACTAAATAGAAAAAGAATTACTAACACCAGGAAAAACAAGAAATTGTGCAGGAGAGGAAAAGTGCTTGTAGGTTACTCAGTGGATCAGCTGTTCATGGGTCAACACTGGCTGTTAGTCTAACTCAAATCACCTAATGACAATGACAGCAGCCAGGAAGGGTTTATGTAGCACTGGAGGGGGTCCAAGAAAATGAAAGCTTCGCCTTTCAGAATGGGAAGAGGAGTGGACAATGTCTATGATCAGGGAAAAAACTCTGAGAAATACCATTACAAACAATGCTACTCAACTCTGAGAAATTTGAATGAGAGTACTTCTAGGTATGAAGCTAGTATTTGAAACTTATATTTGACTCTTTAAAATTTATGCATAATTAGCTCTGTCAAAAATAAAAACTCAGCAGGGGTGAGAGGATAGTCCACACCTGTGATCCCAGCTCTGAGAGGGCTGAGGCAGGAGGATGGAAAATTAGAGTACTGACTTGAGCAACTTAGCAAGACCTAGTCTCAAAATAAAAAGGGTTGGGGATGCATCTCAGGGGTAGGACACACCTAGGTCTGATCCCCAGTACCAAAAACACATAAGTAAATAAAGCAATAATAAGGGTGATTTTACTTACATGTTTTTCTCATTTTCAAAAAGCTTACTGAAATCTGAAGGTATATATATATAAACATATATGTCAACACATCTACAGTGGTTATTCCATTTTTTGGAGCACCTATTGTCTGTTCTGTGTATTTTTCTCTTTTTGTGGAACTGAGGATCGATCCCAGGACCTTTGCACTGACCTACATCCCCAGCCATTCGTCCTTTCATTTATTTATTTATGAGACAGGGTCTCACTGTATCTCTAAGTTGTCCAGGCTAGACTTGATCTTTTGATCCTCCTGCTGCAGCATCCCAGAGTACTGGGATTAACAGTGGTTATTTTTAGTGATGGGATTGTAAGCCATTTACTCTCTTCCTTCACTTTTATATTTTTATGAAGAAATGTGGAATGAAGAGCATACTGATCATAAATCAGAAAACATAGATGTTTTCTTTCACACCCAGTCCAAACCCACTCCAGAGAGGACAGAAGCCCCATCTTTACCATCTTAGCTTCTGTTTGCTCTGCTGAAGCAGGAGAATCAGCCAATTCCTTCATTTACATAGCAAACATTTGTTGATGTCTTTAAAGCCAGGCCCTACAAGGCAATTCCAGTGCTTTCAACTTCTTATTGGGTCTCTGGATGTCCTCAGTACCAGCTAAGGGAATCAGCTGGGAGACAAAAGTCAACATTTTTTTCAAACTTTCTGTGTACCGGAATCACCTGAGGATTGATCGAAGAGGTCTGAGCTGGGATCTAAGCTTCTGGAGGAGGAAGGAATCTCTAATGTGCACAGATTTTGCTGAAGGCTACACAAATGGACTGTCCAAATCTTCAGTCACTTCTGCTCTATGATCACTCTAATTCTCTAAGTCTCACATAGCCTAGATTTCAATTCCACAAATGTTGAAAAGGTGATCTCTGAAATATATTGGAAGGGGTTCTGGTCAGACAGCTGGAAGGGATGCTCCTTAGCAATTAGGAGCAAAAACCAGGAAGAAGGTGGACCCCAGCTCCAGGTCCACAATTGTGCTTTCCCTTCATTTTCTTCACATGTAAAATGGGCTTAGTTTGAGCCGCTTTCACAGGGAAGGTTGTCCTATAGATTACCTGAGAGTAGCAAGGCAACTAAAGGACTTGACAACCCTAGCACAGGGTGAAGCCTCAATAAACAGTGACCACTACCGGCTGTGAACAGGGCTCCACTTCTTTCTCAGCCATGAAGGACTGGCTGGGACTTGGGAGATCACTTGAGTTCTCAGGCTCCAGCCTTTCCTTGGAGAGCAGAGTGCACTCACCCTCCCCCTTCCAAGAGTGATCTCAGCCTGCACCAAGATGTGCACAGCACCAGCCCGGAGGCCCAAGGGCTCTCAAAGAGGTTGAGTCCTTCAGATTTTATTCAGTGAGTTATTCCCGGTCCACCTTAATTTTATTACCAAGGAGATAATTTGGAAAAGGAAAAAGCCCTCTCCTTCCTGATCTTTGGTTCCAGGGAAAGGGCCATCTACCTGAAGATCGGGTGAGGGAGGCACCAGGTGTCCCTGACACTCAACACAAATGCTGTGCCCACCAAGCATCCTGCTCCCAGGAGGCCACCAAACTGGCGTTCTCCCCGAGCGGACTTCCCGAGGGTCCCTACCCTCTGTCCCAAAGAAAGCCTAAGTTGAAAGGAGTGGTTCTGAGTTACGTACTTTACGGAGAAGTTAAGGCTGCACAAAAAGGATTCCCCAAAGCCCGCCCGAGGATCTCAGCAGGTTCCGTCGGGTGGTTGCTGGCCACTCGGGGTGCCCTCCCTCCCCCGACCCCGGCCCGCCGGGCACTCACGATCTCCGCCACGATGAGGAGCCCCGGCAGCGTGCGGAGGAACTCACGGTCGTAGGCTAAGCTGCTGCTGGTGGTGGAGAAGTTCTCGGCGAAGGAGCTGGTGGTGGTGTTGACGGTGTGAGAGCGAGCGCGCTGCGGCTCCTCCATCGTGGCAACCCGCCCGAGCTGGCCGGGCAGCGGGGACCCCAGCGAGCCCGGGCTGGACGCGCGGCCCTGCGCCCAGGGGACGCGGGCGAGCGGGAGGCGGGCGTGGGGCGCGCTCGGGGTTGGCGCGTCGGCTCGCGGGCGCCGGGCTGCGCAGGGCCCGGGGAGGCGGAGGAGGAGAGCGAGGGAGGGAGCAAGAGAGGCCACTCGGAGGCTGCAGCTGGCGGGGAGGCGGAGAGGCGGGGAGGCTGGAGGCGGGAGGCGGGGAGGCCGGGAGGCGGGGCCTCTCCACCTGTTGCGGGGCGGACTGAGCGGCCGGGGGACGCCGAGCTGAAGGCGCGAGAGTCCCAGCGCCCCGCACCGGCTCGGGGCTCCGCCTCCGTCGGGCTCCGTGGGGACCCGCTTTCTCCCACCTGGCCGGGGCCGGGGCTCCGCTCCCCAGGACCCAGCCCTCGCGCGGAACCGGGGCCGGGCCGGCCGGACCTCAGACCTCAGACCTCAGATAGAAGCGAGGCCGCTAGGACAGCCCGGCGCGCGCTTCTTTTCCTCCAGCGGCGGCGGCCGCCGAAGCCCGGTGTTATTTCCTGTCCCTCCTGTAGGGAACAATTTGAGGAACCAACTTAATCGCTGGGCTCCGAGGCGAGGCGCTTCCAGGCGCTTGCTCTCCGACGCTCTGGCGGGGACTCTTAGAGCCCGGGTGACGTCGCCAGGGCCAGAGGTGGAAAGGAAATGCTCAGGGCCCGGGGTCAAGATGAATCAGTGTGGCCGTCCTATCACCTTTGGGGGAAAAAGGTTTTAAAAAAAAGTTTGTGAGGGGTAGTTTGTGTAAAATGAAGCTTATGACAAATGGGCTGCGAGTTCCTGGGGGTGCGGGAGGAGGACGAGGGCGCCTCATTTAGTGAGGCGACGTTTAGTGAGGTACAGGGCAGGTTAGACTTGAGTTCAAGCACTGATCCTTGCACTGACCAGCCGAATGTCATAAAGTTTCCCCGGGTATTTAATGGTGCCTTCTGTAAAAAAAGGCTTTGATGGATGGGCCTCTGGCCGAAAGGATCGCCTTCCTTGTGGCTCTTTTCTGATTTGTGAAGGAGTGACTGAAAACATGGAGGGGGGAGGGAGGTTATCTTTGGTTACAAATAGAGGGTACCTTCGACTTCACAGTGACGTATGTAGGACGATCAGTTCCAAGACAGGTTTAAGAACCGGTCAGAAAACAACAACAACAACAACAACAAAACGGTCAGAAAGGACGTTTCATCTACAATGTCTTATCAGCTGAGCTGAGAAGAAAGCACAAACGATGAACTAATACAAACAAATTTTTTAAAAAGGGAATTAGTTTAAGTCTAAGGCCTAGACAGGAGCAACAAGGGAATAATAAAGGGCTTCCAAAGCCTTTTGTTCCAAAAAAACCAAAAAACCCCGAAAAACGAAGAAGAACATTCGAAGAAATTCCATCCATGGGCATTTGCCAAGCACCTTGGGCAGCAATAAAAATGTTAAATACCGTACAGCACTCTCCCTTAAAGCAGTAGTTCTTAAGGTGTGATCCCTAGACCAGCAGCCTCAACATCCCCCGGGAACTTACCAGAAATGCAGGTTCTCAAGCCTCACCTCTGAGGATGCAGCTAGTGCTGGAACAAGCCCTCTGAAAGACACTAGTGCAGGCTGACGTTTGAGATCTGCTGGTTTAGAGACGCTGCTAATGTGGTTGGGACAATAAGAGATACACACATGAAATATGACATTTGGCAAATGTGTAAGACAGGAAGTAAGTCTACACGTACACGGTTCTATTTTCATAATGCAGAGGACAGTCCCTTCCTAAAACCCTTGGGGCCAGAAGGATTGGAAGTGGCTGGCACTTTAATCAAATACACTACTTTTCTTCAGTGAACATATGCTGTATGAATAAGTCTATGCAATGTAACAAATGCTCCCGAACATTAGTAGTTTAAAATGACCAGTTTATTTACTGAGAATCTGTGGGCTAGGAATTTTGGCAGGGCTGGGCTGGCAGGTTCTTCTCCTCTACATTTTACTGCCCAAAGCCAATAAAAAGGCCAGCCCACATTCAAACAGAGAGGCAACAGATACAATCCATAGATGGGAGGAAGAACAAAGAATCATGGCCCTCTTTTAATCCCCTGAGATAAATAAAGATGACAAACAGCTTCACATCAGCTTAAGTTAGAAACTACATTTTCTGCAAATTCAAGAAACTTGGTTTTCAGGTTTTGGGTTTTCAAAATTGTAGAGAAATAATTGTACATGGTTGCTTGGAAGTTATCTGTGCCTTTCCAACTGCTGCTTAAATTCACGTGCTCATTTTCTACCTGGAACCCTCCTGATTGGGTTCAGTCCTCCAGGAACACTATTACCAGTTGACCATCCATCTTCCTGCAAGCATTGTTGCTCTAAAACCCCAGGCTAAGGTACCACTCTGCACAGTGTAAGGGCCCTATAAGATAGTTCAAGCTATCTCTTCCAGTCCTTTTCCCCAGCCACTCTAGAATTCTTCTGTTCTGACCCCAAATACACTTTTTGTATCTCCCTGTAGATGCAGCCACTTTATGCCCATAACCAGCTTTTCTTCTACCCTTACACACAGCTCAAAATCTGCATCCTTCATGACCCACTTCAAATGTCACCTTTTCTGTGACTCATTCTGAATGGCCATTAGGTTTATTATTAGTTTTAGAATTTGTTAGTTTTACACACTTCTCCAGGGATATGATTACCCTTCTTCGTCTTTCCCCACTGCAGGAAGTGTTGAATGAACGCTGAGGCCCTAACTCTATGCTGACATGTAGAAAAATGTCAAAAGAAAAAGTAAGCCCAGCTCTCCCAGAAATACTTCATAAAGAACAGAGCTTTGAGCTGGAAAGTATCCAACTTATAAAAGAGTAGAAGAATGCAAAAAGGTGAACTTACATATGCATCAACCCAGTCTATAGCCCTGTTTCATGTTTCAGGACTAAAGAGACCTGCCACAAAACGCAGTGTGAAACCCTAGATTAGATCCTGCACCAGAACAAAGAACATTAGTGGGCAATTGGTGAAATCTGAATAAATTTTGTAGATCAAATAACTACATTGTAACAGTGCTTATTTCATAATTTTGATTCTTGTACTCTAAGCAAGATATTAACATTTTTAAAATCTGGGTGAAAGTTCACAGGAAACCTTTTTCCTATTTTCGCAATGTTTTTGATCAGTCTGAAATTGCTTCAGAAACAAAAGAAAGTAAAAATAATTATTTATAATTGATTAAAATAGACTTCTCTAATCCCAACTGTAGCTCACATTCTCCAAGCACATTGGATTCTGTGGCTTATCTACACCAGAACTTCCTGCCTCCCCTCATGTTGCTATTAATATTTGTCTTAAAGGGAAAACAAGAATGTTCTTCCTACTTCAGTTGTGGAAATCTCCAGTCTGTCCAGTCTGCCATCAGTCTGAAAACAGGCATAGATGAGCCCAAATCCATTGGCCAATGAACTTTTAGGATGGGGTTTGTTTGGGTTCCAAGAAGTTCAATCAATTTGACCAGAGGCTTTAAGTCCCAAAGACAACAGGGTTAAGCAGATAAGATAATAAGTGAACAGCGCAGATCGGTTTCAGAGTGGCTTTTTCAATTGTGTTCTTCTGAACCACACACATTTGGGCTTAAATATTAACTTGTGTAGCAAGCTCTTTATTTAACACAAAAAGTACATTCAATCACATTTTTTATTAAAACATGACCTACTGAGTCTCACCGTTATTTTTCTGCTCTAGTTTGAGACACAGGAACAATAAATATTTCACTTTCCTCTTTCTAGAAGGGAAACAACATTTGGGGAATCGGGGAATGTCATACAGTCAGCCCCTAACATTTAGGCTCAGTTGAGGGGAGTAGGAGTATAGTACTCTAAAGAGGCCTTATTGGTTTCTGTTCCACCTAACTGTTATGATGTAGGAATGTGGGCCTCGTGCAGTGTCAGGAATTCTGATTTTTAAATATTGCAACTAATTCATTGTTTTAAAAGCTGCATGTGCTGTCTTTGTGGGCTAAACTATCCATCCATTAGTGATTCAGGCAAAAGAAGATCCGCTTCTCCCTCCCCAGCTCTCATACCACTTGGTTCCCTCTGAGGCCCTCCAGAAGTGTCAGAGTCCACAGAGTACTCAGAGAGGGTAACAGTAAGAGCAGGTTAGCTGGAGGAAGTACTGGGAAGAGTGGAAAATAAAATGGTCAATAAATAGGATGGTGCTGAAGCCAAGGAAGGTTAAAATTGGGAGAATGTTGAGGCAAGTTAAGAATCAGAGTATTTAGAAGTAGAGGCTACTTGGAAGGCTGAGGCAGGAGGATCACTTGAGCTCAAGAGTTTTAGATCATCCTGGTAACAAAGTGAGACCCTGTCTCAAAAAAAAGGGTAGAGATTCTTAGAAGATACAGTGGACCCTTGACTTATGAACTCAATTGGTTCTCGAGGGCTGGTTGTAACTCAAATAGGTTGTAAGTGAATACAGCTGAGATCTGGATGTTTACCTGGGTACACACTGTTGATAACAAGAGGCAGATGAATCTTCCATTAACCTAATTAACCCAAGTTGTTTGTATGTCAAGCCAGTTGTAATTTGAGGGTCCACTGTATAATAATAACTAATTTATTATATAAATATGTTGTGCCAAGCACCATCGTAACTTTAAATTATTTTACTGTCACTGATTTAAAACAAAAACTAATCTCTCACTATACACACAAATCAACTTCAAATAGATCAAAGACTTAAATGTAATACCTGAAACTATGAAACTACTGGACTAAAACACAGGAGGAATGTTTCAGGATATTAGTCTGGGCAAAGATATTTTGGATTTGGCCACAAAAGCAAAATTTGACAAATAGGATTATGTCAGACAAACAGGCTTCCACATAACAAAGGAAACAACAGAGTGAAGAAACAACATACAGAATGAGAGAAAATGTTTGTAAACTGTTCATCCAAAAAGAGATGATTAACACTCCAAATATATGCAGGATTAAAAGAACACTACAGCAAAAACAAAATGAAACCACCAAATAATCCTATTTAAAATGGGCAAATGACCAGAACAGACATTTCT